AGTGTAAATAAATAGAAGGGGAGGGCAAGCAAAGGTGGGGTGATCACTTTGTTTCAGTATATGGAAGGGGGGGAAATAGCTTTCTCATCTTTTTTTTAGGGTAGAAAGGAGTGTGTGGCGGTAAAGGCACATTTATTATATCTTACCAAACATTCTGGGAACTTAAGGTTGACTTTAAAAGAACAAGGGACTAAATTATAAATCCTATTCCCTCCTGTCCTTGACTCCCCAGTTTAGGGTGTTGGGGTTTTTGCTTTTTGGTGGGGACTGGGGACAACCTTCCAATCCTATCTAATCCCCTCCAATTCCCGTTATTTTCCCTCAAAAAAGGCTCCCAAACAATGCAAACTGTTCATTCTTTGTTATTTTCCCTTACACTGACAAATCTACCCATCTGCACAGAGTGCTAGTCTATTGGAATGGAATCGCTGTAGCAACATTAACATACAATCAAGTATATCATCATTATGAGCATTCTTGCTCCATCTTCTTTAGTCACTCTACAACCAAATTAAGCATCTTTTCCTCTCTTCAATACTGGCAGATCTAAACTTTTTATTATTGTTATTATTGTACTGACAGTTCTAAATTAAGCTTTCATGAATATGACATATACTTTAGTGGTATGCAGTGCCAGCAAAAATATGATTGATGGTGGATGTTCCATTTTAAAATTCCACAGTTAAAAGGTGTCATTTAGTTTATTCAACTTATGCATTATCTTAACTTGCTTGTTAGGAGAAAAGACAACAGCTTCTTACTGAAATACGGACGCTTTGCGAGGCACCTTGTTATGAAGGTCTTGTGGAATTCCATGGAGCATTTTATACTCCTGATTCTGGGCAGATAAGCATAGCTTTAGAATACATGGATGGAGGATCACTGGCTGATATTTTACGATTGCGGAAAAGAATACCAGAACCAGTGCTTTCACACATGTTTCAAAAGCTTCTAATTGTAAGGAAATTATGTTTGGTGTTAGTTTCTTCTCGTTAAAGCTGTTTTATGTCCGCTAATATTTTTTTTTCATTTTATATCCTCCTTAAAGGGACTAAGCTACTTGCATGGGGTTAGGCACTTAGTTCACAGAGATATCAAACCAGCAAATCTGCTCGTGAATCTCAAAGGGAAACCAAAAATAACAGATTTTGGGATAAGTGCTGGCCTAGAAAATTCTGTGGCAATGGTTGGTGACAGATGCTACTTACTCTGTGATATCTTTGATGTTTTTTAGCTCTTTAGTGAATGTTAATTTGAACTGGTTCAAATAAATATTCTGAATGTATGAGAGCTGTTGCTTACTTGTTCCTGACTTCAACATGTCATGTCAGTGTGCTACTTTTGTTGGAACTGTAACATACATGTCACCTGAGCGGATTCAGAATCATAGCTATTCGTATCCAGCTGATATTTGGAGCCTAGGTCTTGCTCTCTTTGAGTGTGGAACAGGGGAATTCCCATACACGGCTAATGAAGGACTTGTCAGTCTTATGTTACAGGTAAAATGATATGTTAAAACCATGCTTTTCTAATTATGTTTCCCTTAAAAGTTTCTTCTAAGTATGTCACTTTTTGCTTTTTTCAACTAACATTATTATTCTTCATGGAAGATCTTGGAAGAACCTTCACCATCACCATCCAAAAACAATTTTTCTCCAGAGTTCTGCTCATTTATTGATGCTTGCCTGCAGAAGGATCCAGATACTAGACCAACAGCAGAGCAGGTGAACAAAATGACAGGCAGGATTTGTAACATGTAACTGAACTTGTAGAGATATACTTAGGAATATACCTGTGGGAAAAAATAAGAATACCTTCTGAGTATTTCAAGTTTGTGGCAAAAGACCATTTCGTTATCAGTATGTCAGAAAGCTATTTGAAACTTGAAATTTTGGGGTTAGTAAATGCATATGGTTCTTCAATCTTTTCATTGTTTGTTTGCTGTTTTTTTCTGAATGCAGCTTCTTTCATACCCATTTATTACAAAGTATGCGCACACTGATGTTGACCTAGCAGCATTTGTCCAGAGCGTGTTTGATCCAACTCAGAGGATGAAGGATTTGGCTGATGTAAGTATACAACATCCAGCATATATGTGAATGTGTCTGGATCAATGTACATGAACCTGATTCAATTATGCTCTACTAAGCCTCAATTGCAAGCTGGCTGGGATGTCAATCCATAGAAACATGATAAAAATGTGCACATGTGCATGTGTATCACGTTGTGCTTTTACACATGTTAGCACCTGGAGCAAGCTAAATTTGTAGGCTGTGGATATGAAATGTAAGAAATTCAATTTTGGAGACACCAACCCAAGAGCATCTTACATGACTCATGCAGAAAAGTATGGGTTTAAATTAATTTTATGCTTATTTTTAGTGGCATAGACCTGGCACTTGATAGAACTACTTAAGAAATTGTCATTTCAAAGTCAGTATATTTTCATCGTTGCTGAGATTTCTTCTCTGATACATTTGTGAATTGCCTATATTCTGATTTGATCTTAAGTTGGAGTTGGACCCTCAAGTGTTTTTATTTCTAGTTTAGATCTTCTGTGCATCTTTGTCTGGAGTAAAAAGTCAAGCATACATCTCATGTTGGAAAAATGAATGCCTGAAGCAGTTGGAGCTGCACTGTTCCCTGGTGATAATTCTGAGTGGATACTAATGTGTATCTTTACATTGACCAGATGCTGACAATACACTATTACTTACTTTTTGATGGGCCTGAAGAACTTTGGCAGCACACAAAGGCCTTCTATAATGAAGGCTCGATATTTAGGTACTGAATTATGCCTTGGCTTTGTCTCCTATCTTTTCCATGAAATGAGGAATTTTGTTGCTCTGGAAAGGGAGTTCAGCAATCAAAACCAGTTGATTTTGGTGGTCAAATATCATTTTTTTCAATAAAAATATTTATGATAGTTAGCATTGATCAGGTCAAGTGAATATCCAGAGAAACCAAATTTCTGAAACTCTTCATTTAGCACTACTTTTTTATGAAGAGTGGTGGTGATTGTTACTGTGACGTGACAGTGATGGCGATTTATTGTGACTTGGGGTAGAGATGGCAAACAGAGGATGCTCAGCTGAAATTTGATATTTTTAGCTTTTATTTCGTATTTTTACTTTGGAATTGCAGGTCAGCATGATATGTTCTTGATATTTATGTGGCCTAAGATACGTTTCTTGTACTTTCTAGTTTCTCCGGGAAAGAATCTGTCGGTTCAAATGATATATTTGCAACCTTGACCAACATTCGGAGTACATTAGCAGGTGACTGGCCTCCTGAAAGACTTGTTCATGTTGTGGAAAAATTACAGTGCCGCGCTCATGGTGAAGATGCAGTTGCAATCCGCGTTTCAGGATCCTTTGTAATTGGAAATCAGTTTCTCATATGCGGAGATGGTGTGCAATGTGAGGGATTGCCAAATTTTAAGGATCTCTCGATTGACATCCCCAGCAAGCGAATGGGTACATTTAAGGAACAGTTTATCATGGAGCCTGGAAATGTGATTGGGCGTTACTTCATAGCTAAACAAGAACTTTATATATTTCGGGAGAACAACTGACAAGTATTGTTTTCTTCGAGGTTGGTAGATTCAACACTTGGGAATTCAATGAAATGCGGTTCATTATTGTTGTGTTTACAGAAGTATGTATTCATAGTTCTTGAAAGTATCCGTGCTTTATGTTCCTCCATTTACCTTGTTGCCCTGGCACTAAGCTATTCTTGTACCTTATAGCTGTAACTTAAAACTGCATTCGTGACAGATATGAAACCATTTCTTCATCTGCAAGAGCTCAAGGTAATAACTTATCTGCTCCCCTCCGTCCATGTATGAGCACATTTTATGATCAAATAGGTTATAAATGCAACTTAATCCGATTGCTTACAGATTGCCCTGTCAAGTGCAGTGGTATCCTTTTCATTCACTTTCCTTAAATAAATGATATCATGTTTGTATGGCAAAGATAATTTTCATCTAGTTAATTCCCAATAGCTACTTTTCAATGCCGAGAGTAGAAACTGATGGTGCAACCTCAGGCATTTTAACTAGAGAAAGCATGTAGCTGCATCACCGCACCAGGCTGGAGAGCAATTTCCATAAATCAATTCCATGCATAGTCAAACAAAAATCTAAAGTTTTCAATTAAAAGAAAAAATTCTTATGACCTTGAGTTGAAATGGTTCTGATATGCTCTAAAAGAACCCATATGTGAAATAACTACTATTCCTATTGGACAGAACTTGGAAGCATATTTGGTTCCTGATTTTCAACTGTTACTTCTTTTTTTTATTGTGAAGACGTCAAAATAATAATTTTTAAAATGTTTTTTTTTTTATGTTTTTGATGTGTTGATATCAAAATTAAAAAAAAAATATCACTGTAATACTTTACAAAAACAACTACACTGTATTGAGGACACAAAAATTGCAGTTGCAAACTGGAATGGATACAAGCAGTTGAATGCAGTGTATATTCCATCCCTGAGAGCTTTTAACAGGGCCTACCCTGTCAAAGAGTTATCATCACTAGACATGCTAGAGAAAATCAGTGTAAGCTACATTTATATAAACGTATTTGAAGTTTATCCTACAAGCAATCTAAGATCTACACTTGAAAAAAGAAAAACCTAGGGTCAGATTAAATTGATGGCAGATGTACCCAATCCATCCTCCTTTTTCTTGATTTACGTTTCAAATTCATCCCTGCAAAGTGAAAAGCCAACCCTGCCAAGCTCAGCATTAATGTGTGCAAGGTGCAACTCTATCAAAGAAAGCGCAAGCAAAGAGATAAGATTAGGAAAACAGAGCTTACCATAAATGTGGAAAGAACTGATGCACCATCCACAAGGAATAATTAACATGTAGGAAATATTTCCCTTTCCTGGAAAATTAAGCAGCTAGAAAGTAATCCCTGATAGTTCTTTTTAAAGAAGAAGGAGGGTTCAATACAGAAGAGGGGCTCTTCATCGCTGCTTCAGGGGTTTTCTCAAAAGTTTCCTTAGAATCAGAATCTGGTGAAAACTTTTTCTTATGGGCTTCAGGGGTACTAATTGTAGGCATAGTTATAGGAATATGTGGGTTATTTTGGTTGAACACTTCATCTGTAGGAAGCAGATTGTCAGGAACCTTTGTTGGATCAATTCGTTCATCATTCATCAAAATTTCTCTACATTCCTCTCTTGGGATTGCCATTACCCTCCTTCGAATGGCAGATGGAGATCTTGTTGTGCTTGAACAATAACTGCTATTAATGTTCCAGATGCGAACCTAACAAATATAGTCGCAGAGAAAATGAGATAATGGAAATAGGCACGGATACTAGGAAGCAACAAAGCATGGTAAGAAAATGAAAAGAAATTTAATTTCCAGGATACACCAATTGACTTTGCTAGGAGTGTTTAGCTTACAGTAAAATCATCTGAAGAAGTTGCTATCTTCCCAACCTCAGATGGACACCTGCAACGGATGTGATAAATGATTGGTAACTATGTGAAGTCCGCTAATGAAAATAGTATCTGCTTTGGGAAAAAAATTACCAATCTACTGCTGTAACCTCTCCATCATGAGTTTTCAATGTTATGGGATCCACATCGGGCTTGTTCACCTGGTTCAGCGAGCTAAAAAAATTATACAGGAGTTTCCATATGATGGCATTTCCATCACTAAAGCTAAATCAAAAAACCCTTCTTCAAAGAAGGAATCAAACCTGCCATATGTAGGCGTTTCCATCACTAGAGCCACTGAGTATGTGAGCTGCGTCAGGACTGATTGTTGACTGCAATTGTACAGTTCACATCAACATGGATTGCTACAAAGCATCATTTGGCAACAGAGAACTTGATGCAAGAGCTTCTACAGGAAGCAGTGTTTTAGGGTTCCGAGGGAATCAGAAAAGGTGCGTACCTTTACATAGAATGATTCTATCCGACATCCAGAAAATGACCGCATCGGACCCTTATCAAGCTGAAGTACATTATACAAGTATATTCTGCAGAAGAAAAGAGAAAAATATAACTTTCAGAGATACGCTGCATGCATCTATTGTTTAAAAGGAAAAGTAGTTGAAAACTTGAAAATACCTATTGTCCATGCATGTAGCTGTAAGAAACACGCCATTTAAATCCTGGGACAGACTAGATATGCCATGTAATCTTCTTTCCTGGAACAAGGATAATAAAATATAACTTAGGCTGATAAATTTTTAACATATCACAAATTTGAAGTTAACTTGAAATTTAGAATTATGGAATATTATCTCTATAGAATACTGACGAGATGAGGCATATCAGTTAGAAATCATCATTTGGCAGCACTGACCTTCTCAGTTGATGACTTGATATTAGGGGATGCCTGAGTGACCTGAACCTTTAGATTTCTAGTATCCCAGAATTTAACAATGCTGAAATATGACCAATAGTTGAAATTAAAAGTCAGTATGATACTGTTTCTGCGGAGGAATCAAAACTTTCACTCATGAAAACCTGCTGATGGCGTTCACTAACCTGTCTGCTGCTCCAGCAGTAGCAATGGATACCTCGTCTTTAAGATAAAGAACTGATGTAATGCTCATCGATGCAGCCTGAAAGAACTATAGTGTTAACAGAAAACAAGATACATGGACTCAAATTGAAAAGAAACTTGCACAGACAAACAAACCTTGCCACGCCTGACCCGCTTTGCTCGAGAAGAAAGATGAGCTCCTTGGACCATGGCAGCTGGACTGGATGAAGTAAAAGCAAAGTATTGATCACAATGCGATTCATTAACCAAGATAGAGCAAAGAAAAACCCATTATCAACAATAACCTCACAGGACAAAATCAGAACGTTGCAAACCACATGAATAAAAGGTGTAATGAACTCACGTGACATGTGCTTCACTGCATCTAGTTTTGGAAATTGTCTTGCATCTCAAATCCCAGATAGCAAATGAACCGTCTCTGGAAGCCGAGATAAGAAGATCTGCGGAACAACTTAGGGTATAAATTACTAACAATGGATTAAGAAATTAGCCGTTCTGATCAACAGAGGGCAATGCAATACAGGTACCAGAATTTGTTGGATGGGGAGACAGAGATTTAACACTTCCTGTGTGCCCCATCAATATTCCAGTACATTTCTTCTCTTGTGCATCCCATACCTTTATCTGTAAAACAAATTTCAGTCGTGTGATTTCTTTGACTATGCTGCCACTAGGTAGTATTTTCATAAAAGCAAGTTCACATCATCAACTAAGAGTTACAGCAAGATACAAATACATTCTGAAGAACATAAACAATACTTCATAAGAGGGACAGCACATGGGCAAATATTGAAGATGCTACAACAGCAACCAGCCAACGTTTTAATGTGATGGGAAATATAATAAAATAATATACTATACTTACAGTTTGATCGCCTGAAGCTGTGAGTATGTTGGTATCTTCCTGAAACAAAATTCCACAATCCAACAACTCATAAATCTCTTCTTTCTTTAAAATAAGAGAAAGGGAAAAAAAAAGAGCCTAATTTATTCCGAATTTCTCTTTCTATGATAACTAGAAAATCATAATAAATCAAATGAAATGAAAATTGGCCTCACCTTAATCCAACAAACATCAAAGATAGCGTTCTGGTGAGCTACCCAGTCACTGATTCTTGCTTTCTCTGTAAATAAACCACGTTATTAATTAATTAATTAATGTTCGTGAAATCAATAACATAGAGAAAAGAAAGACTAACTGACCAGAAGGGAATTCGGAACGAGTATCAAACATGCTCACATAGCCATCCTCGTCCGACACCGCCAAAATATGTGAATATTTACTTGTCTTGCAAAAAGAGACAGACAGTGGTGGCGTTTCCTCGCCGTTATGTTCGACCATCACCGATCCCATTTCAGTGAAATCGGATCCCATTTGGGTAATGAAGCGCCGTTTTCTAAAACCACCCAGCTCTCTTGACCTCATGTCTCGAAACAGTGATTTAGATCTGCTAGACCTCTCCATTTACAATCAAACAAGCAAGCAATATTTTTACGAGTATTTCCTCAGATTAGGCTCAGAGAGAGGGGGAGGGGGTATAGCGTGTGTTTTTGTTGAAGAAATTGTTTTATCGAAACTAATTTGGATTGGCGCCAGCGGGATAGTTGTCGTTTCAAAACCACGCGGGAAGCTCAAAATTTTTCTTTTCCCTCTTTTCACCGCTGCTTATACCCCCCCAAGGATACGGTTTAGTGACCCATTGAGGTTATTAAAACCCGGGCTGGCAGCTTCGGTTGATCCGGATCTTAACCGAGTTTTAAATGAGTAAAATTTAGGTTTGTAATTTACTCGGTTAAATTCAAATAATTTTTTAAGTTAATTTAAAATTTAGTATGACTCAAATGAGACCTAATTAAAAAAATCATGATGAAAATGCATTGTAAATTTACTTGGATCAATCTATATAATTTGAAATTTTTTGACTGAGTTAATTCTTTGAGTTGGATTTAATAATTATGGTTAATATAAATTAAGGCTTGTACAGTTAATTGGATCTTGAAGTTTGAATTATCATTATCATATTTTTGGAAAATTTTTGCTTCCTCATTTCTTTTCTTTTCTGTTTTGATTGTTAATCCTTGGTCAAAACCTATCATAAAAAAATTCAGATTTTGGTATTTTAAATTGAAATTGCCATAGATGCTAATGGAAATTCAATCCAGTTTCGAGAATAGTTTCAAATAAATTCCACTACATATTTAAATCGCCTTGCTCTAAAACATAAATATTTAAAATATTAACTAGTTTATTAACTTTAAAATTTATTTCAGTCCATCTTAAATAATTTAAGAAAAAAAATTAAAGTCTTGAAACTAAAATAAAAAAATTAAAGTATTGAAACTAAAATGAATCTCAGTTTTGATCTTCATTCTATTATAGTGAATTTTTTAAACATTTTTTTTCTTTGAAAATATGATAAACAATATCACATTTAACAATAATAGAGATAAAAAAAAATTAGCTACAAATAGATGAAGTATAAAATGATAAATTTATCAAGTGTATTGAAAAAAAAAAGAGAGAAAACAAAATATATATATATAAAGTTGTCATTGCTACAACCAAAAAAAAATATAAAAATTTGTTATTTTCACATCATTTCTTTTCAGTTTCTGTACTAGTATATTGGACCATACTTTATTGTAAATTGAATTAATTTTTTTTAAAATGTAAAAATATATATTAAAACCATGGGGGATTTTTTTAGTAATGTTATCAAATTGGAGCAAGTGGGTAAATCTTGAAATCCTTTGGCCCAACTCTTTTCTTTGCATAGGTTTTCAATTAAATTATATTAATTAATTTTATAAATTTTTAAAAAAAAGTTATTGAAAAGTTTCTGCTATTATAATTAAATTTAACTTAAAGATCTCGATGTAATTTTAACTTTTTTTTGTTTAGTATAAGTTTTAAATTAAATTATATAAAAATTATTTCAGCATGATTTTATTGACTAAATAAGTGTAAAAAAAAAACATCAGTTAATTTCATTGCAAAACCTGCAACTCAAATTACAAATTCGTACCATTGAATTTTTTTTTTAATTATACAATAAAAAATAGATGCTTATAATTTCAAGTATCAATCTAAAATAAATGTTTGTTTGAAACCATGAAAACCTTAAACAAAATAGAAAAAAGCCACCCATAAAAGTTTACTTCTCAACCAATGTAATATTAAAAGATAAAATTAAAAAAAATAAATATTTTTTTTAATTATCATCAATATTAATTAAAAAAATTACATCTAAGATCATGATAAAGCCCTAAAATCAAGCTTTAAGAGCAAAACTTAAAAAAAAAAACCCTTAAACTCAAACCAAGTGTTGTTTTGTTTCGAAGGAAATTCTAGTAATTTAACTCTGCAAAAAAAAAGAAAGTAAAATGACAATAATAACATTGATCAACTAAAAAATAGCCAATTCACAATAATTGAAGGAGGGCAACTATGAAAGGTACTGTAAAAAAAAACAATAAATTTATTATTTTAATTTATAGTAATTAATTCGAGTTAATCTTCTAAAGGTAGGTTAATATTTTAAATTCATATCCCATGAAATTGTAGATATGAACTCAATTTAGAAGTTCAATTTTCAACTAATTTAATATTAAAGAATAAAATAAAAAAACAGTAACACCAACATAAAAAAAAATAGCAATAAGAAAAGGAGCATCAAATATAAAAAAAAGAAAAAAAATGAAGAGGTTGAAATTAAAAAGAAAAAAATCAAAAAAATTATCTTAAATAAATAAATAAAAAATAACGAGATCCAAATCCAAGATGCTAAAAAAATTAAAGAATGATAAAATTAGAAACAAAATAAAATTTGAAAAAATAATTAAAATAAAACATACAAGAATAAAAAAAAATAGATAAAATTAAAATAAAAATAACCTGAAGGGCTGATCTATAAATCTCAAGGGTTACACACGGATTTCAAAAGGGAAGGATAAATGAAAAAAAAGACCATCAACAATGCATCAAAGGTTCATAAACCTCACCTATAGTATAAGGAGAAAGAGGAGGTCAAAATAAATTGAATGATGCCGCGAAACAATAACCACCAGTGTCAACAGCCCGAAAGAAGTTGCACATATTAGTAACCTTTTGATATATATTTTTTAAAATATTGCATTGCTTTAAGGACCAAGAAATTATTACAAAAAAAAAAAAAACTATTATGAAATAGAAATTATTACAAAAAAAAAAAAAAACTATTATGAAACGATGAATAAGCCCTGCTAGTCAAGTGTTTGAAAGCTTACATTCAAAAGTAAAAAAGTTATTACATCGGTAACAAAAAAATAAAAAAAAAACATTAGAAAAATCACTAGATCATAACTAATTTTTTATTTTTTATTTTACTTTCAAGAACAGTAAAGTGATTTTATTGTATAAATAACAATAAAAGTATCAAGATACCCTTAAATGATTTTAGAAAAGCAAATGAACCAAGAAAAAAAACCATTTTTTCCCTTGAAAAGCAATTGATTGCGGTTTTTTGAAGCGCAAAATCTTCTATTCACGGTCACAAAACATGCATAAATACATGTTCAAGTACTTTTACCAAGTGTTTTAACCTTTTCTTTTAATAAAATAATTATATAACAATTACTCTCGAGAACACCAATGCTTCCATTAGCTCAAGAGTCTCCACTCTCAATGACTTATTCTTTTCCATTTCACACGTAGCTGTGAAAGGTTTGTTACGGGTGATATTACTGGGGTGAAGTAAAGGGTTAAATTCTAGAAATGCTTGGAATCCCAGATACCATACTACGACTTCAAACAAGTAGTGACATCAAACCAGAGATTTTCATGTACTTCTACTACAAACATTCGAGTTGTATCTCAAAAGCTCACAACATTAAAATTCCCAGAATCTGAAAACATAAACTCCTGTATATACAAAAGCTCCCACACCTGAACCTTGAACATATTTCCGAAAGTAAACCATGCTATGTCTTGCTTGTGCTTCCTTTTGGTGAATGTTGTTTTGGATGAGAAGACTTGCCTGTAATGGCTTTCTTCACCTTAGAAATTGAGTTCTTCACTTTTGATCCAACACCTGATAGTATATTATAGTGCTTTTTGCTTGCAACCTTCACATCTACTATATCCCTAGATGCTTCTACCATGACTGGAGCATCGGAGCCTGAGTCTGTCTTTTTGTGTTCCTCTCCTTCCTCCTCCTCCTCCTCCTCCTTTTCTTCGTTTGATTTTGTCTTCTCTCCTTCCGCTCTTGTTTCTTCTGTCAGGTCTCCCCCCACTTGCCTTTCTCTTGTGGAGCTCTGCATCATGTCAAATAAAGAAGTCTTTGCTGACGTACCTTCATCATTCCCTCTTATATTCTCCTCACCAATACTTCTCTCTGCTTTGTGCTCGAATCCTTGTGCATCAACGATTCCTGTAGCTTTTCCAGGTTCCGATTCTCCTACTCCAGCACCCTGCGTGGCTTCAACAATCGGCTCCTGCAGCAGCACTTGTGGAGCATCTTTCTTCCTCTCTGTGGTTTCTTGGGGTTCTGCTTCTATTGGAATTGGCTTTTCAGAAGTTGAATCACAGTCTCTCTCTCCCTGATGAATGTCTAGTGTGGTTTCATAGGCTTCTGCAGGAGCTTGGAGGCTTTCCTTTTCTGATATCTCTGTGCCAAATTCCTGATAAGAAAAAAAATCAAGCTGCAGGTAAGAATGAGAAATGCTAAGAAAACACTCAAGGATACATAGAGGCAGATTGTTTTCTTAATTTTTTTGTTCTTCTTTTCTTCCCCAAGATCCTAGTGGGGGTTCAAATCACATGTATTGTTGCTGTTCATAAAATCTCATTTCTATGCTGAAGCTTCTTTCTTTTTCTTGAACTAATTGCTAGAAGAAAATCCATGACATTATATGATTCCTCATTGAAAAAGTTTATCATGTCTGCACAAGTCACAGAAAGAGTTGGAGCTTTTAAAAATGCGCTGAACGTTTTTCTTGGGTCTAATTTTCAATTTTGTCAGAAAAGTGTATATGACAGGCTTCCAATACAGAGGGAAAGAGAAATGCAGCCTAACCTCGTTTGTTATTGTTGTGGCTTCTGTTCTGTCACATGCAGAAATTTTCTCATCGCTATGGTTTTCAACCTGCAGCTTAGTTCCCATATCCTCAGCATTCTCTACCAATGCTTCATCTGGAAAGTTCTCGTTGATCTCGACAGCAGTTTGGTGAAGGTATTCGCCACTCTCGTTGCTTACCTGTTTTTAAATTGCATCAGTGTATGCAGTCCCCGTGTTATTTATAAATTTATTTACCATCCCAAACACAGGTTGATCTAGTTAGCCATTCTTATTGCAAAAGTATTTATGGGGCCTTTAAATTGTATTATAATCACCAATGAGATCTAACGTATCGCTAAAGGTCATTTCCATGAAAACAGAGAAGGCCTTGGAGGTCAGATTATGTAACCATTTCAAAACAGAAGCTTTAATTTTATATCGAGTGGTTAGGTAAAAACTATAATTTAATGGTTCTTCTGTATTTATAATCTGACTGACCTCTTCATTCTGAATTTCATTTTCCATCTTGTCTTCCTGACTTTTTTCAGCCTTCAGATCATATATTTGGCGGCTTTCTTTAGTTGTTTCTTCGCCAAGGTTTATTGGATTACAATCCTTGGTATCTTCTTTTTCCTCCTTGAACTGTTGTTTGTCCTGCTTGGTCAGCTGTTGTCAAATTTTAATACTTGCAGGAAAAGAAAGATAAAGGAGAAAAGATAAAAAAATTTAACGAGAAGCAGAAAGTGGTGTCTAGTTCTCTTTCTTACCTCTTCATTTGTGAGTTCATCATGCACGACTTCAGTTGCATCAATTGTTTTCTTATTCTGATTTTCCCTTGCCACCAAATCAGTTAATGCAGCCACTGTATGCTTTTCTTTTTTTATTTCAGCATGTTCTGACTCAGCGAGAACTTCGTGTTCATGAACTTCTGACACAGATTTGAAAGCCTCTTCACTTGTCTCAGCCCTGAGATCGGAGGTTTTTTCAAATGCTCCTGTTTCTGTTATTTCTGTCATCTTGTTACTTTCTGGTAGATATTCTTTATCTTTTATCTTGTTTTCGTATCCTCGAGGCTGTAGTGTTGAATCTTCATCTGGTGTCCTGCCTTCTTCCTCTTTGAATTCATTTGAACCGTTCTTCTGCATGTCTGTGCTGCATTCAACTCCCGAACCACATACTTCCTGCTCTTTAGTCTCTTCTTTTTGCGAGCATGTGTTTTCTGTTGTCTTTGGTGCAGAAGGATGTTCATCAACTTCTATTTCCACTTCTTTAACATGCTCTTCAATGTGCTCGGTAGTGGTTTTAGAGGTTTCCTCCTCCTCATGAATGTCTCGGGTGGCTTCATTGGCTTCTACAAGATCCGTGGGGACTTCTTTTTGTGATATCTCTACATCCATTTCCTGATAAGAATGGTTTGTTGAAATTCCGGATGCAATTTTTTTAATCCATTCAGATATTTATGCTTCATTTGTTCTTCAAAAGAATGAGAAAAGTTATGGAAAATTTAGTGTTCTGAAAAACAGACTCTTTAGGTTTTTCTGTCCTTTAATTTCTTTGTAGATCCAAAAAAGGTTGAAGTAAAGCATGTTCTTGCTCATTACATAATTCCAAGTTATCTTGATCCTTGTTTCATTTTCAAGAAGTGATTTTGGTGTTGAAATTATTTGGCTGTCACCAAAGCTTGAAGCTAGGTTTAGTGATTTGGATCAACACCAAACCTGTTATGTAAGAAACATCATTATTTTCAAGAAGTCATTGCTAGAAAATATGTGCAACATTGTTTGGCATCTCACAGATCTTGTCTGCATGAATCTTAGAAAGAGTTAGGGTTTTCAATGAAAGTGTAGTTTTCTTTTTGCCCTTTTAAGCTGGAAGGCTATTAGGTTTCCAGTGTATGGTTTGTGCATGTGCTTGTGTGTTTGGGGAGGGGGCTGAGCGAAGCCTTACCTCTTCTTTTACATTTGCAGCTTCTGTTCTGCCATCATTTCCAAAAGCTGTCTCACAGATCTGATTTTCAACGTGCAACTCCGATCCTGCTTCATCCAGAAAGGACTCCTTCATAGTCTCATTGTCAGCAGCAGCTAGGTGAAGGTGCTCAATGATTCTTTCAGTATCCATCTGCTTTTCATCTCCATCAGCCTTTTCAACTTCCTTGTATAACTATTTGCAAGATAAAAACTTCTTAATTTACAGCAATTGGAGAAGTTAGGTAAAAGTGACGTCTATATTTATAGTCTAACCTCTTCATTTTGAATGTCTTTGTGTGTTCCCTCATCGCCTAGACTTTCCTCAGCCTTCAGCTCATGCTTTTCCTGACACTCTTTAGTTGTTTCTTCAACAAGGGTTACTAGGTCACCATTTTTGGCACCTTCCTTTTCCTCCATGATCTGTTGGTTTTCCCTCTTGGTTAGCTATTATCAAACATTTTAGTACTTGCCGAAAACAAAGCAAAGGGAAAAAAACAGTAAAATGTACGAGAAGCTAAAATTTATGACAGACAAATGTACGGGAAGCTAAAAGTTATGACTATTCTCTAACTGACCTCTTCACTTTTGAGTTTATCGTGTATGATTTCAGTAGCGTCAATCGTTCTCTCACTCTGATTTTCCTCTGCAGCCATATCAGTTACTGTTACCTCAGGATGCTTTTCTTTGATTTCAGTAACTTCTGATTCAGCGAGAGCTTCATGTCCATGCACTTCTGAAATAGATTTGAATGCTTCTTTGCTTAACTCAGGCTTGAGATTGGAGGTTCTTTCAAATGTTCCTTCTTCTATTACCTCATCATGTATGATTTCAGCTGCATCAATTATTTTCTCACTCCGATCCTCTTCTGCTGCCAAATCAGTTATTGCTACCTCTAGATGCTTTTCTTCGATTTCAGTTTCTTCTGATGCAGTGAAGCCTTTGTGGCCATGAGCTTCTGACATAGATTCAAAAGCTTCTTTGCTTGTTTCATATTCTGGTGTCTGTAATTTTGAGGCATCATCCGGGCTCTTACTTTCTTCTACTTGGATTTCATTCACTCTATCATTCTGCATGCCTGTGTTGAGTTCAACCCCAAATCCTGAGACTTCAAGCTTGTTGGTCTCTTCTTTATGCAAGCATGTATCTTCTTTTATCTTTGTTGGAGAATAATTTTGTGGATCGGTTGGTATTTCCACTTGCACACACTCTTCAATGTTCTCAATAATCATTTCATTCCCACAATCCTTTTCCTTAGAAAGTAATGCCGCTGCCAGCATCTGATTTTGCTCTTTTAATTTCTCTTGCGGGACAATCTGACCTGAAGTACTCTCATCTTCTTTTAGTGCTTCAAAACCTTGAGAATTAGTAATGGATACTAATTTTGAACCTTCCTTGATTTCTTCTTTAGTTTCATCAGGAGTTTCACATTCTTCTTGTAGTACCTCCTTTGGACTCTGATTCTGTATATCTTTATTGGATTGAAGCTCTAATTGAGAGATGTCACGTTCCCTACAATCATCCTTTTGCAAGGGCACCTCTTCTGTGTTTCTCAAATCATCTTCCAGCAACTCCACATCCTTCATATTTTCTTCCCTTCTTTCAGTTGTTGCTGAAATTCCTTGCTCTTCTTTTGATACAACTTCTGGGGGATTCTGGTCAATAGCAATTTCATTTGCTGCTGCTTCAACACCTAGAGATTCAACTATTTCTGAGGATTTCTCATTTTCCTCTTTAATTTTGCTTGTGAACAGCTCTTCAGTACCATGATCTTTGGATTCATACGCTACATCAGAAGCTCTTTCATTTTCTTGAACATCATCTGCATCTGCGCTTTCTTTGACTACCTGCTCCCTCATTATGTTATCGTGATCATCAATTGGAATTGGAGATGCCAAGTTTGAGGGTAACTCAAGTCCCATGTTATCTTTGATTTTTTCTTGTTGGCATGCTTCAGCTTCAATTTCAAGAGAAACGCCATCATTTGAGGTAATATTAGATACTTGTACCGGCTTTTCATCCAGCTGAGCTTCTTCCAAGCTAGTCTTTGTTATCTCTACCATAGTTGTTGCCTTGATCTTGTCACAACAACTATCTTCTTCCTTTATAATCTTTATCATTTCATTTGACTCTTCAGCTGGTTTGGTGGTAGAGAGAACAGCAGTCATCCCATTATCTTCATCATTTATTGCTTTTCCAAGTGACATCTCCTCCATGGTTGGTGTCTCTTGAAAGTCTGAGTTCATAATTGCTGCTTGTTCATTAGACTCTGTTGCTTCATGGCATTCCTCAGCTATAAGGCTGGATTCTTTTACCTGCTGAGTAATGATGCTTCAAAAAAAAAGTCCATGGTGGAAATAAATACATAACATATAAAAATTATATCAAATAGTACTATTGTTAAGCTGACCTCATGAACCCTTTCATCTTCAGTGGATTTAGCACCAGGTTCCAGGGTGTCATTTACATCCTTTTCCGTGCATTTGAGAGTTTCATTACCAGCTTTGTCAACTTTTTCGTGTACCTGATAAAGACAGAGTGTCAAGAAACTGCGCCTAGGAGATGAAGTAAATCAGCAGAATTTAGAAGCTAATCATGCTTAACGAAGGGTTTGTATCTGACCTCTTCAGTTAACAAGACATCCTTTACAGTCTCATCTGTGTTTTGTGTTTCCTTGACATCACCTTCAGTCTCAAATCTCGGCTCTGTTTTCTCACCTGTCTCCTCTCGAACTTCTTGGGATTCTAGGGAACTTTGTTCTACAGATTTCAAACTCTTATTCTGAATTTCAGTAATGTTCTCAACTTTACCTGGATCTGTCTCAGGGATCTTTTGGCTGCTTTGATCTCCAGTCTCAGATTCAGAGACACCTTCAAGCTTCTTACCAGATTCAGATACTTCAAAATTCTGTTACAATCTGATGATTAGTATAAGGTTGCATGTGATCATAGAAAACAGAAACAAGAAGAGCTAGGTTGATATATAAAAAGTTATGTTGTAAGTTTTAAGCTCTTTGACACGACCTATAACTCAATTTGTTTGTTAACATAGGAATATTTGAGGGTGAGATAGTTTGGCTCGAATTTTATTGGTAAATACAATAGGACCGCTCATATTTTTGCTACATTTAATGCCCTTTTAAAGGATCCGTCTGCAGTGTCTCGTTTACATCATTAGGGATGGAGGAAAACAAATTCATATAAGCTAATTACTTATTTTATTGTTAGGAAGTGCAAAAGAGAAAAAAGAAAATTGGGTTGCTCTAACCTCTTCTGCTAGAACTCCATAGTCTTTGGTGCCAATAGCCTGCTCTTGGTTGTTGGTTCCTTCTTCGAGCTCAAATGCTGCTTTGTTTGCTTCAACATTATCTGCTAAGCTATCTTCATATTTCTTAGTAGAGTTATCTTCTTCCAGGATAGCCTCTTTTCTTTCTGCACTGGTTGCTTCAATACACTTTAATGCCTCATCTCCTTCATTTGTTGAATACTCATCTTCCAAATTCATCAGCTTGCAAATCTCTCCCTGATTGGCTAGGTCTCTTACTTCTGATGATTTTGAGATGTCTACGCCTTCTTGTTTTTCATTGTCTAGCTCATGATGCTCGTTCAGACTGTCGAATTGGTAAGACCCAACTTCTTCCTTTATACTTTCTATTCTAGGATCCACTGATTTAGAGGCATCTCTTGCATTGATGGGCATATCTTCCTTTAAAATGATTTCTATTTCCTGTGGATTCTGGGGAGTTTCTATGTTTTCATATGTTGTTGAATTCTCATCTGTTGCCTTGTTTCCTTCATTGGTCATGAGCTCAGGTTCTTTAGGTAGCATTGTAGAGCATTCCACCTGCTTATCATCTAAAACATCACCTTGAGATGTCTCATTAGTGGTCTCCTCTTTGTAATCTTCGCTTCCTGTTATTGGAGTTTCCTCATGCATTTCATTCTCTAGCTCTTCTGCTTCACTGGCTGCTGGAATCCCATGGTCCTCATTCTCAATAAAGTTGGAATCCTCTGGTTTGGCATCAATATCCACACTTTCCAGTGTAGTTCTTTCCGTGCTCTCTGTCACTGGTCCCTTCTCTTGAGGAGCTGGTTCGAAACTCTCTATTTGCCTTCTATCTTCTGGTTCAGCTTCCTTAAAGCTCGTTTCTCTTGTAATTCCTGTTGTAAGTTCTGAGCTAGAATCATTAACATCAGGCTGAACTTCTTCCAAGATTTCTCCTTTACTCTCAGACTCTAAGTAGGAGATTTCAATGGGGCCTTTATTGCTTTCTTTTTCTGAAACTCCTTCAGATGCTTTTACAAGGTAGATGTCACTATTTGGTCCTTGTTTGCCCCTTAAGGTCTCAAATTCTTGCCTGTCCACTGAACCTCTGGCTTCAAACGGTTCAGTGAATTCAGATTTTGAGTCCTTAACCTGTAAACACACGAAACTACAATTAAGCAACTAGAAAAGATGGCAAAACAGGAATGCAGGGTCCAACTCAGAAGCAGACCTCTTCGTATGGCTTTACTTTATCACTTTCATCTTCTGTTTCCTTGTGTAGAGGATTCTCTTCATTTGTGCTGCTTAGAGGTAACTCATAGCTGTCCTTAATAACACTACCTTGTTTTCCAATATCCCCATACTCAGCTGTTTGAATAATCTCATGTACCTAGGTAAATGATGTGGTATTGATTGATTTAGAACTGAATGAGAATATACGAGACATAGAAATAAGAGCAGATAGGATAAAAGTTCGATATTGAGTGCTGGAGCAGTAATGTTCAATGTACCTCTTGTTCTACCAACATTCCTGATTCGTCACCTTTGTATATAATCCTAGACTGGTCATTAATAGCACTTTCCTCCTCTGGAACCTTTTTCTCAGCGTCCTCATCTACACTGGTTATCACTGATTCTTCCATCTGTACAATAGATGTTGAATATGAATTAGAGGGACGTTAACATGCAACAGAAACATGAATAAATTAACTTCTCAAGCCAACCTCCTTTACAGTTTTTGCTTTTTCCTCAGCTGTTTTTTCTCCAGTGGTTTGTGGTGAGATATCTGTATTGGCGTGTTCTTCAGTTGTGACGTGTTTTTCAGCATCCACACTCAAGCTGCCAAGCTTGGTATCTCCACATACCTGCATGCAAAAGAGGCTCACACTAAGTAAACAATCAGAAGTGGGAAAAAGAGTAAATGGCTTGAGATTAAGTGAAGATTAATGTATTTAGCCGGACCTCTTTGACGTCTTCATTCTTTGTTTCCTCTTCTGTATTCTCCCTCTTCTCTTCAACCTCCAGCTTCTGTATGGAGTCCAATTCAAATTTCTTTCCGACTGTTTCAACTTCTTTTCCACCTGATATAATATTTTCATCCTCCGCATCATTCTCCACGCTTTTGTTTGCATCAGATGCTTCTGCAACTAATTTGAGATCCTGCGTCACGGTTAAATCACAATGTCATTAGCGTAGCTTTTTTAGAGATACAGCCAATCACATTAGTGAATGAAATCAAGAGGAAATAACAATTATGTAAGGTCACTTCGACTATTACCTCCTCCATTACAGCTCTTTTAACTTGGGTCACATCTATATCTTCACTTCCTTCTTTCTTTTCTTTCTCAATGGTTTCTTCAATGTTTTGGTTGGTGACAACTTCTTCCTGGCTTGTAATATCATCAATCTTGTCACTCAAAGTGTCCGCCTCAGTTTCAGCAGCCATAACAGTTGATGACTCTTCAGGTTCTCCTGGTTCAATTCTCTGCAGTTCTTGTTTAGAATCTTCTTGGACCTTCGATGCTACCCTTGCGCTGTCCAGGTTAGTCACAGTTAGGTCAGGATTGCTATCGTTTCCATCATCTGCTCTGTCCAAAGGTCCATGCTCTTTTTTCTTTTCTTTCTCTACGGTTTCTGCAATGTTTTGGATGTTGACCGCTTCTTCCTGGCTCGTAACATCATCAATCTTGTCACTCAAAGTGCCCACCTCAGTTTCAGCAGCCATTACAGTTGATGGCTCTTCAGGTTCTCCTGGTTCAATTCTTTGCAATTCTTGTTCAGAATCTTCCTGGACCTTGGATGCTTCCCTTGCGCTGTCCTGGTTAGTCACAGTTAGGTCAGGATTGCTATCATTTTCGTCATCTGCTCTGTCTAAAGGTCCATGCTCTTCCTTCTTTTCTTTCTCTACGGTTTCTTCAATGTTTGGGACTGTGACGACTTCTTCCTGGCTTGTAACATCATCAATCTTGTCACTCAAAGTGCCTGCCTCAGTTTCAGCAGCCATTACAGTTGATGGCTCTTCAGGTTCTCCTGGTTCAATTCTCTGCAATTCTTGTTCAGAATCTTCTTGGACCTTCGATGCTTCCCTTGCGCTGTCCAGGTTAGTCACAGTTAGGTCAGGATTGCTATCATTTCCATCGTCTGCTCTGTCCAAAGATCCATGCTCTTCTTTTTCATCATGTGTTGAAGCCTTAGCTGTAGTGATGTTCTTATCCTCACCCTCGAAACTTTCATCTATTTTATCCACGGAAATGGTAAGACTTGAGCTGCAGTCTTCATCATTCGTATTTGTTTCATCACCTCCAGCTATTTGAGACTCTAACATCTGCATAAGATACCACGTCTTTGTTCAACATACAAGACTCTGAACTGACAACGTCAAATATTGTTTCAAGTGCAGACTTACCTCCTCGGTGGACTTCTCAGAATTCTTTGCAGCATTCTGGAAGTCCTTAATTAGACTTTCTTCAGCGGATTCTTGTGACAGGCTATTGATATTGCTCTCTTCTACGACATGTACCTCGATATTTTCTTCTTTGAGCAATTCTGCCTCTGCATTTCCTCGAGGAATCTCAACTATTTCTTCTTCTTGGTTATCAACCATTTTACTGAAAGCATCTGCCTCAGTTTCTGCACATATCATGTTGATTGATTGTTTGGGATTTTCTATCAATTTATTATCCTGCAAAATTTGCTCTAAACTTTCTTCAGCCTTCAATGTTTCCCCGGCATTCCGTGTCTCTTCGGCTAGTCCAGTGTTCTTCTCCTTGTCTTCATCCTTTTTGTAGGAAGATCCATCCTCATATTTTTTCTCTTCTGGTGAAGTTTCTTCTGGGGTTAGGTTATCTGTTTGCACGCTTTCCTGTTCTTCTACTGGTGAAGTTTCCAGAGTCGAGTTAGGGAATTCAATGTGCTGATTTGTCTCATGTGCAACAGCATCAATTTTTTTGGATGTTTCCTCGTCACTCTTCTCTAGATCCTCCTCCAGCTTGATTTCTCTGGAATTATCTCCAACCCTTTTAAACCCTCTAGCCCGATCATGTTCTTCCTCCTCTTCTGGCGAAGCTTCTGCTGGAATTGTGTCCTTACCCTCACCCTGCACAATTTCCACTTGTTTCACTGTTGAAGTTTCAAGGGCTGCGTTGGGGCTTCCATCATTCCGATACGTTGCATCTATAATACTCTCATTTGTTCCAGTTGCCAAAGATTCCTCAGAAATCTGCTTAAGAAACAAAAACTTTTGAGTCAACAAACAAGAGTATGAAATAAATTGATGGAGAAAAAGTTTACACTCGCCTCTCTTTTGAACTCCTCAGCATTATTTTCATCATTCAGCAGTTTGCTAACTGGAACTTCCTCGATAGATTCTACTGGGATGCTTTTAGCGTCGTTCTCATCAATGACCTGTTCCGCGCCATCTTCTTTTCCAGTTTCTGCCTCCTTTTTGACGCCTTCAACACCCTCATCCATCTCTTCCTCAGTTTTCTGAGTCGTTTTATTCAAATCAACTTCCTCGGGTTCCGCAGATATCATGCTAGCTGAACTTTCAAGATTTTCTCCTGGCTCATTCATTGACGATATTTGTTCTACATCTTCTTCATCTTTCAATGTCTCCTTCGCTGTCGAAGTTTCAAGAGCTGCATTGGGGGTTGTTCCATCATTCTGATACGTCGCATCTGTAATAATCTCATTTGTTCCAGCTGCCACAGATTCCTCAGAAATCTGCTTAAGAAACAAAAACTTTTGAGTCAACAAACAAGAGCATGGAGTATTTTAATAGAAAGAAAGTTTACACTCACCTCTCTTTTGAACTCCTCAGCATTATTTTCATCATTCGGCAGGTCGCTAATTGTAACTTCCTTGATAGATTTTACTGGGATGCTTTTGGCGTCGTTCTCATCAATGACCTGTTCCTCGCCATCTTCTTTTCGAGTTTCTGCCGGCTTTTTGACGCCTTCAATACCCTCATCCATCTCTTCCTCCGTTTTCTGAGTCGTTTTTTTCAAATCAACTTCCTCGGTTTGTGCAGATATCATGCTAGCTGAACTCTCAAGATTTTCTCCTGGCTCTTTCATTGGCGAAATTTTTTCTACATTTTCTTCAACTTTCAATGTCTCTTTCCCTGTCGAAGTTTCAAGAGCTGCATTGGGGGTTGTTCCATCATTCTGATACGTCGCATCTGCAATACTCTCATTTGTTCCAGCTGCCACAGATTCCTCAGAAATCTGCTTAAGAAACAAAAACTTTTGAGTCAACAAACAAGAGCATGGAGTATTTTAATAGAAAGAAAGTTTACACTCACCTCTCTTTTGAACTCCTCAGCATTATTTTCATCATTCGGCAGTTCGCTAATTGTAACTTCCTTGATAGATTTTACTGGGATGCTTTTGGCGTCGTTCTCATCAATGGCCTGTTCCTCGCCATCTTCTTTTCGAGTTTCTGCCGGCTTTTTGACGCCTTCAATACCCTCATCCATCTCTTCCTCCGTTTTCTGAGTCGTTTTATTTAAATCAACTTCCTCGGTTTGTGCAGATATCATGCTAGCTGAACTTTCAAGATCTTCTCCTGGCTCTTTCATTGGCGATATTTGTTCTACATCTTCTTCACCTTTCAATGTCTCTTTCTCACTACACTCCTTAACCTCTTTTAGCCCATCATCATTGTTTTCATCTTCATCCTTTCTGATAGAAGATCCGTCTTCATCTTTTTCCTCTGCTTCTGCAGTAAGATTTTCAGTTTGCAAACTTTCCCGTTCTTTTAGTAGTGAAGCCTGTAGAGTTAAGTCGGGGCTTTCATCATTATTGTTTGTCTCATCCTTTTCTTCCGCCTCGGACACTTCAGACATCTGGATAAGATCACAAGAAATTAACTTTTAGATTAAAAAGATGTAGAGCTGAGATGTGATGAAAACTAAGTTGTGTTCACTTTCATGCTGACCTCTCTGCTGGACTTTTCAGCATTCTTCAAATCATTTTGGAAGTCATTAACCGAGGCTTCTTGAATAGATTCTTGTAAGATGACCTTAGCATTGTCGTCTTTCATCATCTGTTCTTCAACGCCATCTCCTTTTGACATCTCTGCCTCTGTTTCATTGTCTTGGGAGCTCTCAACTAACTTTTCATCAAAGACTAGTTCTGATGAAAGGTGTGTTGCATCATCTTTAATTTTCTCTTCATCAATGACCTCTCCAATGTCTGTGATATTAGGTTCATCAATCACCTGTACTAGCAAACACCATCATACAAAAGAATTAAAAGACATAAGGAAAATGAGATTCGGTGTTAATCAATGTGTGTTGGAGTACCTCTTCGTTTACTATGCTACTCATTTCGTAATTCTCTCCAACTCCGTTTTTTGATGGTGTTTCTGCCTCCTGAAAAGCTGCTGCTTGAACACTGCGCTCTACGTTTTTGTCAACAAATTCTCTACTGCAAACTTCATCTGAGGTTACTTCTTCAATTTTATCACCTGCAATGGATGTTTGAGGACCGTCATTACCTAATAAACTCTTACGCTTGTCCTCTTCATTTATATGTATTTTGTGATTAGTTATCATTGTGATATTTAAAGATTTCTGCTTCAATTTGGGAGAGAGAAGATTTGGAAATTTAAAGAACTTACTTGTTGCCATTTGATATGCCTGTTCATCATGGGCTTCTTCCTTCTTTTGCATCTCCTCTTCCAAGTTAGTCCCAGCATCATCGATCGCTAACTTTTCCTCGGATTCCAATTCATGGATCTTTTCCTCCTTCTCAACAGCCATTTCATTTGCTTTTGAGTTCACTTCTGTTGTTATTGCCCCTTCGGCAGACGGATTCTCTAAACTGGTGTTCTGCATGCTTTCACATGCTTCAGAGGCATCTTCAGCATGTTTTTCCAACTCTTTAGATGGTCCATTTTCTTCATGATCTTGTTCTTGAGGTTCAAAATCAGAGAGTTTTGGCTGTTTTTCGTCTTGTACTGGTATTGTTTCTTGTTCCAACGAATGACTTAAGTGCAACTCACTGGAATTCTTGTATTGAAGCTCAAGTCCTGCGTCTTCAATCTTCTCATTCAAGTCCGTTGGTAGAAGACTCTGCGAGAAGAATAGAAAAGTTGGTGATTCTGTTGTCATTATTGATGCTGAATTTTCATGTTGTTGGAGGAATTGAAATACAAGTAATCATGAGTCATGTATAGTTTTAACCTTTTCTATTGGAAGCCCACTGTCTACGACAGCATCGGCATCAATTGGTTTCTCTTCCTTCTTATCCTCAAAGCTTTCTCCTGGGATTTTGATGGGTGTCTCCTCTTTAGCAGATGCAATTGCTTCAGAGCATTCACTTGAAGTCGCTGTATCTATCTCCCCAGATATCAATGCCAAGGAATTTTCAATCTTCTCATTTGCTGCTTCATCTTGCTGTGCAAAAGTTTCCTTGATCTTATCCTCGTACTTAGACATCTCCTCTTTGCTATGCTCTGGAACAATATTGGCTACTACATCCATGATTTTGTCATCTTCTATCACAGAATGATCATGAGCAGTAGTAATGGTAATAGGTACCGCATCACTTGTGTTGTTTTCAGCTGCTATCACAGTAGGAGTCTCCATGTCTCTGTTTTCCTCTGTTGATTCTTCTGTCATAGCCAGATCCTGATGTATGCTTTGCTTGTTCTCCTCATGTTTCACAAACAAACCATCAGGCTTTTGTTCAGGATTCATCCCATCCTTAATATTTTCACCTTCACTGCTGTCAACTTCAGCTGTTTTCTCAAGGATAAGATTTTGACCTTCTCCTTGTGGACTCTTATTGACAATTTCCTCTGATTCAGATTCTGAGACCATGCATTCGTCAGGCTTGTCTACTTGCTGAGAGTACATTTCTTCTGTCTCTTGTGTTTTATGAGTGACAGTCGCGATGTCTTCTGTATTCCGTTTGTCCTGCATACCTTGTCCAGTTCCAGGAGTTGTTTCTTTTTCATTCTGAATGTCTATGCCTGCTTCTACTATATAGGTTCCCCCTCCAATTGTATCGCATGTGGTGCCCTCTTTCTCATTTTCTGTCTTTTCAATGGCTTTGACCACATCAGTACCCTTGTCATCCAAGAAACTAGAGCAACTCCCTGATTTCTCTCCTTTTCTTTCTTCTTCTATCCGCTGTTCATTTATAGTTCCATCACCCGTGCCACTGTCTTTGATTTCTTTCTCCTGGCAAACTTCTTTGACTGTTTCAGGATTGTCCAGGTTGTTGACTGCCGCATCAGCGGTTTGACTCAGAGCTTCTTTTCCCTGACTGAAGCCTGGCTCAAATGAGCTCACTTCATTGCTAGTTTCAAGTTCAACACTCTCTTCTATCTTCATTTCTCCTTCCTCATATTTCTCTGGGCCGCCAATTTCCTTCTCGATACTCTTTGGTTTACCTTCAACTTCAGCCTCCCCATCTTCCATTGCTTCAACATGTTTGACTATTTTCTCCTCTTCTTCAATGTTTACGCATGGTCCTTCAATCTTATCCATCTGTAAAATGGTTCCAGTAACATCATCAACTTGTTTTTCCTTTTCCGCAATCTCCTTAGTTTCCCCCTCTTCTGTAGTGTCAAAACCCTCATCTTCGTGCGCCCGTCTCTCATTCTTTTCTACCAGGCATGGTACTTGATCGATCTGTTTTCTGAAGATTTCTTCTCCTGAAACCTTGGCAATCGAGGGTGGTTCCAAAAAACTTCCACCCTCAGGCACAACAGCATTGCCTCCAAGGCCGGTATGTACAGTTTCAAGCCCTTCTGTTTCCTGGCTACGTGAATAACTAATTAATATAAATGAAATGGGAGATGATGCGTACAGGTAGTGGTAGATGGATGGTTCAATGGCATGTCGAAGGACGCAGATATTTATCATATCATTTAAGATTTTTAAATTGCTTAATTAATTATTACAAGTAAATTATGGGTTGACTTGTACGATTACAGAAGGCAAATGAATAGCTACCTTAATTAATAAAGCTTGTGGTTAATGTTAAGTATATGCATCCCTATCAGACATCTGGCAAATATGTTTTCGCATGACGGCAAAGATTTATGGAAGACCAAGCCGGATCGCACTGACAGAGAATGAACTTCTATATGAAGATCTCTGCAGCCATCAGATCCTTGTTTTTTATTTTATTTTCTTAAAAGAAACATGGTGGATAATATACGAGGATATTTAGATAGAAATGTAGAAAAGCACTCAATATTCATACGATTTATCTCCTCTCTTTCAAGAAAAGGAGGAGATGCAGCAGAGCAAGTTTCCTGGTAGGAAACAAAGCTAATAAAAGGCTGCAAACCTTTCTCTTGGTATCTGTCCAAAAGGAGAAGGATCACAGTCTTGCCTTGCAGTGAAAGCATGAATCAAAGAAGAGCTTCTTGATTTATTGATTTCATTGCTTGGATTCTTTTAGTTCAAAGTGATCATGAAACCTATACATGTCAAGTGATCTATAGCTAGCAAACTTGTCATGCAATATCCTGCAGTTTATATCATTACAAGCAAGCAACATCAAAAGCAAAAAGCATGCAGTAGAAGAATAATTAAGGGGAGGAACGTACCATTGAAGATAAAGGTTCTGATATGTTTCATGCAAGCAGATATATATATGCAGGAAGAAAGTTGGGATTTCCGCTGAATCTTTGATCCAAACTCTCACTCTCAGTTTTTCTACTGAAATCTCTCGTTCTAATGTCACTACTCTCGTAACTAGGAGAGATTTTGATACACTATGAATAAATAGTGGATCATTAGGTACTGGTAATAGACTGCTGACAGGTATATATATTCCTAAAGTTTGCTAGGATGTGACAAAATGCAACTTGATATAGGTAATGTGTTTTGTGAGTTGGCAAGATACAAAATGGTCCTACTGAATGGCCATCCACATGCCCTAATGACTCATGTATTCATACAGTAAAATGGCACAGGGCTCAGATGAACTGATTGTTCTTGGACTCGATTGAGACGTGCCACTCTTTTTGACAGTTCCTTTCCGCCTTTCTCAAGGCTACAATCTTACTTTCTGTGGGAGACTTTTGATGATTCAAGGCAAGTCTACACTCTTGGGTCCGTCACTGTAATATTGCAGTGTAAATTTGGTTACAGGAGAAGGAAATTGCTTGTAGTCATGCTGTTAATTATACGAGACATCTTTCTTAGCTGATAAAATTGGTTGCCACTGTATTCAATCGGTGAGACTAAGCAAAAAGGATTAGCCATGATAACATGAATTGAGATTGAAGCAATATCCGTGTTTGGAAGCACAGTCCAACCATGAATCTTAAGAACTCTACTTCTTTTACTCATCAAGTTAGTTTTTATTATTATTAATATTTAATTATTTTAATGGATTCAAATTTTAACAAATAAAAATATATTATCTTCACGTATAAATATTTTAAAAAATAATCTTTATAACAATCTTAAAAATACCCGGTTTCTTAAACATGACTTTGGATCCAAGCAGCCGCTTGTATCGATCAAAATCCACGTCCAAGGCGCATGGGATTGGTGGAGGAGGAAGGGAAAGCAAGAGCAGCTTCAAATTGGTCCAGAAGCAATGAATTTTGTAGATTAAATCTTTGAAAATGAAAGCAGCTGTAACTGGTTGGTTTTTGACTCTCAGTCCGAAGATAATTATGGAAAAGAAGAAAGATAATGATATCTTAATGACTTGATTATGGCCTAATCGAGAAAAAAGAAATCATTATGGAATCTCCTGTAACGTAAAATGTCAGTGTCATTGTTGGCCAATGTGGAGGGTCCCCCCTCACCACCATTTGAACATTTACTAATAAAAATATAGGATATAATGTTTAATAATAAAAATTTTAAAAACAACTCAGTTATTCCTCTCAAATAAAATGAAATAAATTGTGATTAAGAGGACTAATTAAACAAGTAGAAGCAAAACTCCTCCTTTTTTAAATGCATATATGCCTGTATATACCTGCTGTAGTAGAGATCCAAGATGTCACGAAGACCAACCCACTAGTTAAAAAACCACTAAAAAAAACATTATGTAAATTCACAATACATTAAGAATATGTTTGATAGTGTGATAACGATTATTTTTTAAATAATTTTTTTATTAAATACCTGTATATACCTGCTGTAGTAGAGATCAAGATGAAGACCAACCCACTAGTTAAAAAAACAATTAAAAAAAAAACATTGTGCAAATTCATAATATAAGAGTATATTTGGTATAATATAAGAGTATATTTGGTAGTATGATAGCGATTGTTTTTCAAGTAATTTTTTGTGTCGAAATATATACTAATGATGCTTTTTATTTTTTAAAATTATTTTTAATAGAAGCACATCAAAACGATCCAAAACATACAAATTATATTAAATTTTAACAAAAATAAAAAATAAAAACATTTTAAATTTTTAAAAAATACAGGTTCAATCGCGTTCCCAAACACTACCTAAATATATAGCTATAATGTTTTTTCCTGGCTTTTACATGAGATTCAATTGCGTTCCCAAACACTACCTAAGTATATAACTATAATGTTTTTTCCTGGCTTTTACATGTAATATAATTTAAAAATAATTTTTTCTTTTATATAAATTAAGAAGTGTTTAAACATGTATAATTACTAACTTCATTTGTTCTTAATACTTTTTTTATATATATAATTCTATATGAAAACATTTAATCACACTAATCAATTCCAATAATCTTTTATGTAATTTATTAGAAGTGTTTAAACATATATAATTACTAACTTCATTTGTTCTTGATATTTTTTTTATAAAATTCTATATGAAAACATTTAATTACACTATTCAATTCCAATAATCTTTTATGTAATTTATTAAATAGGATAAACATTTGATAATGTTCATAAATCTTAGATTCATTTATCAAATACCAATCACACATAGGCCTTTTATTTTTACTACTGGGAAATAAACAAGAACTGGTAAATGAATCCGGTAGTTAGAAATTAAGTAGGCATTATATATGTCTATCCAATAAAAGGGAGATCTTTTAAATAAGTTAAAAGATGAAATGTCAGTTTCTGTAGAAAATCCACTCGAATTATAATGAGAAAATCTTTTATTTAAGTTGGAGAATTAGGAACACAAATTCTAAATTATGATTTTTTATAGAAAATAATTATAATTTTGACGGACCATCATTTATTGATCCAGATAAAGGGTTTAAATCATGGCATATGAATGGTCTGTAATAAATAGAAATAAAACATACATATAAATTTTTAACATTAATAAAAAATTCCCATTTTTATTATTAAATTTTTTTTTATATGTTGTTTATTAACATAAAGATTAAATGTATTTTTTGTTATTTAAAGCAATTATTTTTTGAAATGGGAGTTTATTTTTCTAAGATTAGTGTATGAGATTGTAATCTTCATTTTTTTTCAATTTAAAATTTTTATATATATATATATATATATAAGTGGGAAATAGACTATGAAGTTTGAACGTGCAGGAGGCAAAAACAAGGAAGCAAAGCCAAGAACCAATGAGGCTCTTGCGTTTGCCAATAAAACTACAGCTTTATGTCATTGTCACTCAAAAAGTTGGGTGTTTGAGCCCCTCACCGTAATAAAAATTGAGTGAATTTTAGATTAATCCCTGTATTTTTGTAAAATAATCAATTAGTCTCTTTACTGGTGTTGATCATGTTTACTTTAATATTATTTTATTTTAGAATATATCTTCTTTTTCTCTGTTTTATATTCCATAAAACAAAACAAAAAAAACATGAAATAATTTGGAAGAGAACATGAAATGGGCATATAAAATCAAGTTATAAGTAGATTTATAAACAGTAGGGCTATTTAATTAATTTTTTTATTAACATAAATGTTTGGCATCAGGATACTAAAATTAATAGTTATATAATTTTTTAATGATTTTAAAAGAATTTAAACTTATAATTATTGAGAAGTAAATTTAAGATTTGATCAATTAAATTATTTTTAGAATTATTTAATTAGCTTTTGAATATAAAAAAACTTGTATTTACGAAAACTAAAAAAAATTATAATTTACTCATAAAAAACCAAAAAATAAAGACTTTTTGGGGTTTATTTGAGACTATTTGGGGGGAGGAGTTATGCGTGGATTATAGAGCTGACGTGGATGGTGACAAGGGCACAACAAGGTGATGTGATCTACTGGATGAGTCTCGACGACCATATGAGCCGTCCAAGTGGCAGAAGTCTAAGAAAGTGGGCAAGCAATAATTTATTTTCGATTTTTTTAATTATTATTATAAGTAGAGACGCTGGTTATTGAGATTGGGGTCGCCACGGGTGCATACGTGTAAAGAAGCATAAAACAACACGAAGACAGTCTTCATCAAACCGACCAAACAAAAAATTGTTGTCTTTTATGGCCGCCCTCGGAGCATAAAATTGGTACGGCTCCATCTTCGTTTTGCCTTTTCTTTTTCAGGTATATATCTGGGAGCATGGTGTAAATAATCTATTTAATATGTCAATAAATAAAAAGGATGGTTTAGAAACTTTAATGTATATTTTTTTAAGGTGAAATTTTTTTAATACATAAATCATATTTTTAAAATATAATTAAACTTTATGAATTTTACAAAAAAAAAGAAAAAAAAATTATTTTTATTACATGTGTGTTGTCCGTGTAATAACATGCTTATTATAATTAAAATATTATGTTTATTAATATTATAATAGTTAATGAAGTAATTATATTTTAAGTTAAATTAAATAGTTATTATTCAATTTTATTTCAATAATTATAAATATCAAAATTAATTATAAAAATAAAAAAAATAATTATAAAAACATACATATAACAGCATTAGAATGCACATTCATAGTAACTTTCACTTAATTTATTATATAATAAAAATTTATATTTATAAATATTTTAAAAAAAATATTTCTTTTCAATGTAGAATATATATATATATATTATTTATTTATAAACCACATCAATATATAATAAAAATTATTTTTTAAAATATTTTTGACTTGAAAATATATTAAAATAATATATTTTATTTTTAAAATGCATTTTTAATATCAAAACATAAAAGAAAATTTAATTTAAAAATATTAATAAGTTTTCAAAAACATGATTGGGTCATTATGCGATATGCTTCGGTTTGTGGATTAATCAAGGGTCACACCAGGGGTACGCTTCAGGTCTTCTTTTTCATAATTACACTTTTGAAACTAAGAAAAGCTATCTTGGTGATCTTGTTTGCCTTCCCATCCTACTATATTATATTATATTATCTTATATTATATTATATAATAAGGTGATATGGCGGTTGAACATGTGATACTTTGACCGTCTTTTATATATATATATATATTAAGAGTTTTTATTTTGTGGTTAAAGACGTACATTGCTATCGACATTCGAATCAAGAGATGATGACATGAAAGAGAATTTAAAATGTTTTTGAAGTTGGAATTGTAAAATAGCCAAGAAAGAAGCAACACCTCCTGCAATGATGCATGGTTTTGATTTGATACGTGGTCCTAAAATCCTGTTGGGTGAGTTGCCTGTGCTGCCAGATGCTACAGGTCACTAAATCACGACTCCAATTCGGTACTCTATTATTATTACAGTATATACTAAAACATATCACTAATTTTCTTATTATTTCCTCACAAAATAGTATTTTTTAATTTTATATTTTAATATTTAATTTATTAAAAATTAAACTTTATAAATTTATTACTATTCACTTTATATATAATTAGGTCGGTTTCATAAATTGTATCATAAATTTGACTAATTGACTCTAATTT